ACGACGAGAATCAGATCCAGGAAATGGAAAAGGTGTCATGCGGCTCGTCGACGGGACACTCACGTCGCGGTCTAGATCCGGAACGCCGAGTACGACTTTCCGTCGCCGTACTTTGACGACATTTCGCCGTCGGCGAAGGACCTCATCGCCAAGATGCTTCTCGTGAACCCGGACGCGCGGTTAAGCGCGTCGGATGTCCTCGCGCACCCGTGGCTCGCGGACGTGGCGACGCCAATGCCGCAGTTGCGCTTTGTCGGCACCAACCTCCACGACCGCCGGGAGAAGACGCGCGCCAAGTTCAAGCGCAGCGTCAATGCAATCATGGCCATCAACAAGACGGGTCGACTCGCAGGCAACAAGAGTCAGCGCAACGTGTAGGCCACGCACCTTGAAGCTGCTAAACACGATGTTGCTTTTCGTCTCCAACGATATGACCGGCATGCGTTGTGGCCACGGCGCTGGAACCCCATCGTCGATATGCCTTGCGACCTGCTTCGAGTTCTTCCTTACAACGCTGACGTAGTCCAAAGAAGAGGTAGAAACGGTCGCTTGGACGGTGCTCACGCCATGTCTTCACCCGACACCCAACCCTATTTGACACCCCTACCCCCATGGGCATCCGTCCAAAGCTGTTCGTACTTGGAGCGGCAGTACGAATGGACCCGTAGAATGTGCACGCAGACGCGCGCGCTTTGTCTGTATGTAGTCAGCTGCAAACGAGCGCTTTGCGATTTTACTCGAATTCCTTGTGATTCTACATCATGGCTCGCAAACAAATCGACTAATTGCGGCTTGGATGCGAGTGCACGTCTTGTGTCTCTGGGCGCTGGTCGTCTGCAGCGATGGCGCCGACGACGTTATCCGCGTCAAGACGCTCGAGCCGCAGGCCAACGACGGCAGCTTCCAGAGCTACAAGATCGCGAGCGCGCTCGGTGGCGACGGCTTCAAGAGCGAGTACCGCTGGTTCAACGCCAACCTTGGTCTGCGCACCAAACACGTGAATGTCGGCGAGCTCGCGCGCACCTTTTACGACGGCGTCGTTGGCACCACCAAGAAGCTCACGGCGTCCCTGGCCTCGGTCGTGCGTACGATGCAGCAGTCGCCCGCCATAGATCCTCGCATCGACACCAATGGTAGCATGCGCTTGGCGCCGCTCTTGGACCCGGCCGCTGCGTTTCTAACGATTGACGCATTTGTGCGCCAGTACAATATTTCGACGCCCCGTGGAAACGAGACAACGGTGGCGTCGGTCATGACGCTGCATGCGTACAACTACACGGGCGTCACGTACATCAACGTCTCGGCCTCGATCGCGAGCCGGTTTGCGCCGTATTCGTCCTACGCGTCTACGTACTATGCACCGTCGCTGCCGAACGGCATCTTGCCCACGACCACGTACCCGTGGCCGTGGGGCAGCGCGGTGACGCAGCTGAACGCGCTCGTCAAGCTTGCTCTTGCGTCGTCGTCGTCCAACTCGAGCAGCGACTCTTCGGGCGCGAACGAAACGCTGGCAGCGATGCGCGCGATTTGGGCGTCGTTCTACATCGTATCCGGCATCCCCGTGCCACCAAGTGTACCGCCGCGAACGTCGTTGGCGGTCGGCGATACGTCGCCGGGGCTGGCCTTCTACGCGTATCCGGCGCCCGCGGCCGGCTTTGGTCGGTCGGGCGTCACGTTTTTCGCGCCGTCGCTTTTGAACCGCAGTCTCTTGGCGACCGACCAGCTCCGATTGGCGTTTGACGATGCCTTGGATGCAGACGTCGCCGGCTTACTCCATGGGATTGAGTCGCCGTCCAGCACGTGGTACTCGGCGTACGACCGGGAGACCGACGAGCTGGCCGACTTGTGTCTCGGCAGCCTCGTCGCAGCGCCGACACGCGATGCGCCGCGCCTTTTCAATTTGATCGTCGAGAACGACGCGCAGCAGCCGAGCTGCTTGTGGCAAGCCAACGCGTACTACTTCCGCGTCAAGGCTCGCGCGCCTCGCCGGAGCGTCGACGTAGAGATCGGGTCACTCGCGGCCTACGTCGGTGCCCGCGCCATGAACGTGACGCGGCTCAAGGCGGCGCTGCGGGCCGACCGCGCGTCCGCGGTGAAGACCGCAGTACAGAGCGCCAATGCGACGAGCATGCCACCGCTGGCGAGCATGGGCG